GTCATCATTGTGTGGCTCTGAATTTCCTCCTCCCAAGTTTCTCCCCCAACCATTATCCCCATTCCCAGCTGAGCTGCTTTCTGCGGGGATTTCTGCTCACTAATCTGCTTTAGCTGGTGTTTTATGGGCTTAAGGATGAACCTCATGAAATTCTTTTCAACATTAAAAAATTCAATTTGTCTTGGAAGGTAATGAGATTTCCTCAGTGAGTCTGGAGAAAGGCTGACCCATTACTTGTCATATAACGATCCCGTTACTCACATGAAATAAAATCAGAATGCAAAATATATGCAAAATATATAACAGAATTTAATTTGTACTGATAAATCCCCTCCACACACCAGCACTCAAGATACAGATATTGAATAAAACGGGAGTCCCTTAACCTCAGTGCAGTAGAGCTTTTAGTGTGAACCAAATCCTGGGCACGTCTGGCTTTGAGCTGACAGGTCTTAGGGAGAAATGTGGGGCAAAGTGGCATGCTGGAAAGTGTTCTGCTCCAATGTCATTCAAAGTCCAGGGATGTAGAGGTCTAAAACCAAAGAGCAAAGGTCAGGTCTGGAATGAGGAGAAATGAGGCTTTGCTGATGGGGTGAAAATGATTCCACAATTCATCAAAGCTATGTGGAGTGTATCCCATATACATAGTGTCTTTTTCGGAAAAGGTAATGTTTTCATGTACACACATGTTTTTGCACATGTGGATATACCAATGCTGGCTGTGGTGGTAAGTACCCCATCCCAGTGGAGACTGGCACATCCCTGGCTCATTGGCCAATCAATCCAGCCTCATTGGTGAGCTTCAGGCCAGTGAGAGATGCTGTCTTAAAAGGGATGAACTCTATTCCTGAGGATGACACCTGACATTGTCCTTTGTTCTCCACACAGCTACACATGTGCCTTGTACACGTGTGAATACATATATAATACATATGCACTAAACTATTTCATTAAATTATATGCATGCCTCATTAACATGGCCCAATGTCCAGCATTCTCAAACAGGGTTCTGATTTTGGCAGGTGTCTTGCTAGCGACATTTCCATATCACCCAGATGCAGAGCCCAATCGTGCCTTGTTCACATGCAATCTTATGTGTTGTGGAGTGGAAGCTGACATACAAATGAAAGTTGATGTCTTTTTTTTCCTATTTGACTGTGGCTCCCCTCTGAGGAGTGTGGAAGAATGATTTGGATGACTATTCCAGTATCCAACCAGTTTCCAGTCACATGAAGTAGGAACTTCTTGCATGACCTTGGCACCTGTGTTTTTAGTTCACAGACATCTGATACTCACTTTAAGAACCGCCGAGTCTGTGCTCAGTCTATACACTTGATCTGCTGCTAGCATCTCTCCAGAAGTCTCTTTTAATATCCTGGACATGGATGCATATAGTTCCACTTTAGTTTTTATGGTGTTTTGAGACACATTACATGTAGCCTAGTCTGGCCTTGACCTCAGTACATAACTGAGAGTGACCTTGGATTCCTAATCCTCCTGCTTCTACTTCCCCAGTGCTGTGGTTATACATATATGCCTCCACATCTATCTTTAGAGACATAATTTCATGAGCTATTTTTGGAATAAATGACTATTTTTATTTTAAAATATTATTTATGGAATCAAGTCTGGCTGGTATAAGCCAGACTCCTTTTTTTTTTTTTTTTTTTTTTTTTTTGGTGAACCATGAGTTTTTTTTGGGTTCCTTACAGATTTTTAAAAATCTTTTTAAAATGATTTATTTTAATGTTCATTGGTGTTTTCCTTGTATGAATGTCTGGGTAAGGGTGTATGATCCTGTGGAACTAAAGTTATGGAAGTTTTGTGATGCATTGTGTGTGGTATTAATTGAACCCAGCTCCTCTGGAAGAGTAGCTTGTACTCTTAACAGTCTGAGAAATGTTTTTGTGTGTATTCATGGCTGGCATGGAACTCACTTTGTAGACTAGGCTTGCCTTGACCAGAGATCTGCCTACCCCCTTTTCTTCTGTGCTGGGATTAAATGGTAAGTCAGACTCTTTAAGTTTACTCTTTGTGAGCTATATATGAATTCACTGTCCTAAAGAATCACACCACTTCCTTCTCATCAGCAACACAAGTATGCAGAACATATCAGTCATCTATGCTTTTCCATCATTGTAAAAGTCCCAAATATGTACTAACCTTCAATAAATTATTTGTTTGGTTTTTACCATGAGGTAGTTTTAGCTCCCTCACTCCCAGTCTTGGACCTTTTCCACTAAATCCAACCAATCTCCTATTTAGGACCGAAACAGCAGTCTTTGCCTGTGAATTTCGTAGTATCCAGGAGATGGCAGCACCACAACAAGGAAAAGGTGCTTCCTCCCGCTGGCGGCTCCTGGCAGTGGCTGCAATTGTGTAGATCTAGAGTAGAAGACAAGCATATGGAACTGATAACTAGAAAGAACAACTTTTATCCCCTGTTTTCTCTGTAATGTTTAGCATGGGAAGCAGTGTAATCCATGACCTAAAAGGCTAGAGTCGTATGCAGAACAGAGGTTGAACAAGGTCTGAAGTTTTTATTTTTGTATTCTCCCGGAAAGTTCCTATGACTGAGAAGCTCAGGTGAGGCAGACTTTCCTTCCAGGCTGGGCTTGTCTTCTGTTCGCTGGAGGGACTTCAGACTGTGGATGGATTGCTCAAGCCAGAAGCCCAATTCTCCCCTCTCAGCCTCTGGCTTGAGATGCATGTCACCTTCCATCTTTCTCAGAGATGGGGAGAGAGTAGGAATTGTACTCAGCCTTCCACAGGGAAGACACCCGATGGGTACTTCCCCAGACATCTCTCCTAACGCAGAGGGGGAGGCCATTTGCTTATAACCTGTGTCCTCAGCTAAAGTTGATTTAAGTGTGCCTCATTTGTTCCCTGGGCAGGAAAAGTCAGGAAAAACAAAACAAACAACCAACCAACCTACATTGCCATATGAGTGGGTAAAAATACAGAGCACACTTACTAATGAGTGCTGACTTGAATGGATTGGAGCTCATGCGTAAAGGGCGTCTAGTAAAGGGGACCTGCCAGGAAAGGTGTTGTGGTAGCGTGGTGGCAAATGTGCAGGCTGGTGAAGGGCTGACCAGGAGAGAGCTTGCTTGTGATGGCAAAGGAGCTCCCCATGTGAGCACCTATGGGGACAGCTTTCATGGCCTGATCTGCAGGAAATACTTAAAAAACAATCACACACACACACAAAACCCAACAAAAACAGCAAACCAAAAACCAGAGAGTCATATTAGTCCATCTTCTGTTGCTGTATCAACACACTTGAGGTTGAGAGCGTCATGAACATCAAAAGCTTATTGAATGCACAGGCATGGAGTTCAAAAGCATGGTGTTGGCATCTGCTTGGCTCCTGTGAGGACTTCAGGACGGATGACACTGCAATGGTGGGGCATGTTCAGAAGAGAGCTAGGCTCACCCACAAACAACAACAGTAATCCATTCTGTCTCTCAACATCTGGTAAGTACCACAGCTGAAAGAATTGGAGAGTACAGCATCCTTGTCCACTATGCTGTCCCCAAGGTGGAAGAAGTTCCAGAGAGGAGTCTTGTTTTTCATAAGCCATGATCATCCATTCTTGATGATTATTCTGAGCAGTGTTCCTCCATGTCCTCTGCTTCAGTTCCCACCTCCAGATTTGTGCCTGGAGTTCCTGGCCTGCCCTCCCTTAGTGATGGACTGGGACATGGGGGCTGTAAGCTGAAATAAACCCTTTCCTCCTCAAGTTGCTTTTGGTCATGGTGTTTATCACAGCAACAGAAGCTCCATAGTGTATAGCACAGAATCTAGAACCTGGGAGGTGTACACAGAATATAGCATTTGGCCAAGGCTCTGACAGTAGATGTTTTCTGAAGCTCCAGGAGATGACAGCAGTGATTATCACTTTGACCAATCTAATTTCTGTCAACTAGCTGGTGATGGTGGTCAAGACAGTTGTCTGTCTGTTACTAAATGACTATCAATGGTTCATTTTCTGCATTAAGCAGCTTGCTTTCAGGTATAGATTGTTTTGTAAATATAATATGTTGTTATCTGTATTTCCTCATTTGCTTTTTTTATCTTATCAACATTTAATTTTTAAGTAAACTGTTATATTTACCCCTAATTTAGTGGAGGTAATACTGGTCTTCTATTTATAGAAACGAATGTCTGAAAGTAAAAAAAATAATTAATGCATTTAAAGAAATTTAAAGAAAACCCAATGACATAGGTGGTATACTGATATGGTGTAAACCTCCAAATATGAAGCAGAAAAGAGAGGGAATGGAGGAGAGGGTTGAGTCCAGGGAAAAGACATCCCCCTGAAAAGCATGCCCTGGCAGCTCATGCCCTCTCCCTCAGTCCCTCCTCCTGACAGCTCAGTCATTCAGCTCTGGACTCATCAAATGATTGCTAAATTGTAGAACTTAGTGCTCTCATGATCCACTCACCTCAATAGCATCATATGCTGTGCCAACGTTTCAAAACACGGAAGATTTTAGGTAGACACTTCTTGATGAAATCATAACAGCAGAGGCCTGGCGAAAGTGTATGATCATGTTCAAACTTGAAAGCCTAGAACCATCGGAAATACCAGACCACATAAGCCAGGGGATGTGTCCTAACACCACAGCTGAGCAACTTTGGGGCCTTAATTTGCTCTATGATGTTGCACCTTCTTCTTAGAACTCAGTTTGCCTGATGTTATCTGACTCTGAGACTGGAGTTCTACAATGGGGAAAGTCCGATATACAAAGTTAGATATATTTATATCCATCTGCCAGTTGTTACAGATGGCTCAGATGAAGGACGATAGACATGGCTTGGTGGCCCTTAAAGGACTTCTGGGAAGCTCTTTTGAAGAGGGAGGTGTTTCTTCTCCATTAGATATTGTAGTTGGTCTGCTTATGCAGGGCGGAGATGGAGGTTTGGGGCGGGGACAGTGCATTCTTTAAAAGGAGCATGGACAAATCGGACCTGGAAGAAGGGTTGACATTTCACGATGTGGTCCCACGCTTTGGTCCTGGCCTTTTTTCCAGTTTTCATGGCTTATGGTGAGTCCCCTGAAATATGAATATGGAGAAGCTCTGTTATAGGGAAGAGATGGGTAGAACTGCAAGGGATGATGGGTTTGGTTCTGTAGCATGGTTTGTTTTCCAAACTCAGACTTGAATTTGGGGCAGTCATGTCTAACCAGCCTTGGCCATGAAAGATGACACAGAAGACAATAAAGTCTCTGAGACCCTGTGGCAAGCATCAGGTTCAGGAGGCCAGTGTGCTGATAGCAGGCTTCACACAGATTAAAAGAGATCAGATTATTTCCCCTTTGATTCTTAGACTAGTCTGCCTGGATCATGAACTATCTAAAAAATATGTTTAAATTTTTTTGGCAGAATATTAAAGTTGGTGGAATGTGACTCTAAATCCAGCTCAGGCTTTTAGCTGTGTATCCTTTGACCAGACATTTATTTTTCTATGTCTGGGTGACCCCATCTCTAAAATAGGGATAGTAATAGTACTTATTAGCACTATTTGCAGTGAGGGGAAAATTGCTGCCTGTTTTTCAAACACTTAGGATAGGCTAGAGAAGGAGACACACACAGGACATAAGTGTTCCCAATGGGTATCAGGTCATTTAGGAGGCATGCAGTAGAAAAATTGTGGACAATGGCCTTTATTGTGATTCTCTTGAAAGGAAGGGGAAAGGCAGAGGAAACTTGTGTGTAACAAGGGCTATGTTGAGTTATCTCAGAGGACTCTGGGGCACATGGGCTGTTCCCAGTTTTCTGGTGTCCAATTTTGGGTGATCAGGACAGCTTAGGGAAAGTCCAGTCTATGAGACCCAAATAAAGCTGGTGTCTGGGGTGTGGACTCTGGAGTGACTGGGTACAGGGGATGTGACTCCCTCAGGCCACACCAGGAGAGAGGAAAACAGAATCCATGGTCAGTAGAGGTCTGAGATGAGGGGCATTGCCTTTATACAGAGGGAGTAACTGAGGTTCTCAGGGACATACACTTGCTGACCGTCACCTGAAAATCACATCCAGGCACATACATCTCTGATTCCAGAATCTAGCCCAGTGGTGAGCTATCCGAGTCCTGGCAGCCCAAGACTCTTCTGGATTTTATCTTCTTTCTGGACACATGGCACAATGAGAGGCTAGGAACTGAACACGAGGCAGAGCTAGGAAGGGCTCAAATTTGGAGTGGAACATTACTGTGGCAATGCCAACATATTTTCTTCTTTAGGAGCTCCCGACAGGCAGCTTTCAAATACTGCTTGTTTACCAGTTAAGTGGGCATGTTGACAGGCACCCAGCAAAGCAACTTTGAGGAACTGTACATGGGACTGGAATGCACATCTGGCACATAGCAAGTGCCTGTTATGTGAGCCTGTGTACTGTACAAGTGCCTGTACTCTATTACATGTGTGGCAACTGCTCATGGCCTTTTCCTTGCCTCTCCTCATGGGATTTATTCCCTGTAGAATTCACCAGGGGCAAAGCAACCTGCAAGGCTGCTGGCCATAGGCATCCGATGCTGTTGGTGATAACCCATAGAGCAGGCATGTGGATTTGCCACTTCTAGAGTTTCTAGTATTAATGATTATGTCCTTAGACTCATGATGAGGCTATGTTCTCTAGCTTAGATTAAAAAAATGTTAAGTCGGAACACCATGAATTGGGGACTATTTGAACATGTCTCCCTGAAAGTTCATGACAGTGATATTTGTAATAATTAGCAGCCACCATAAAAAAACAACTTGAATGTTCATGTTGGCGCTATGAGACTCGGATACTGTTTTATTTGTTATTTTATTTACTCTCAATTTATGCTAAACCATTTATTCAACATATGCTACCAGTTCATACATTACATCATACTTTCTTCATGAGGAATGTAGTGCATTACTATAAATTATTACTAATTATAAAGTAATTACTCAAGAAAAATTCAGAGTGAAAAAGGGAATTAGAAGTCCAGACACTGTTTTAAAAAGCCTTTCCCATACAGTGTTTCTAATACTTGGAGTATTCTCCTCTTAGGCCAAATCTAGATTGTTGTTTTGTCTCTGGCCACACACTGTGGGAGAGATGTTGACAATCTACCACTGGATCTGCCTGCAGAGTCTCCTTCTTCAGGAAGCAAACTGCACCCATGAGGTAGCCTGTGGTTGAGCGAGAAGCATTATGAAGTCTGTGGTGGCCACATATGTGATGTACCCACTGATTCCTTCCTACCAGTGCCAGAGCAGGTGTTCTCTTTCAATCTATGTCTCCACAGTAACTGGGAAGGCAGGTGAAGGATACCCTGGGGCATAGATGACATGCATAGATTACTGAAGCCAGACAAGAGCGGCTCAGAGTAATGGAGTCTTGAAAAAGGTGATGCTCAGTCAGTGTCCCCGTAGGTCAAGTATGGCAGTGGAGAAGGATTGTTTTGTCTGAGAGAATCTCATCTATGAGCATACAGAAGCCCGATACCCAGTCTCTACTCTCTGCATGGCCCATCCCAGAGCCAACAAAGGAAAGTTCTAGAATTATACATTTTGTCCTCCAGCACACTTATTGCAGCTTATTGTCCACAAAATAATCTCAATCCTTATGCTAGACTTCACCTGCTCATCCAGGACCATCTTCTTCTCATCATAGACTCCACTTGGTGGCATCATGCTCACTTGCCATTCCCGGCCTGGCCCTGTGCTCTGGCCTCTCTGGGTCTTTGTGCAGTCTCTTTTCTCTGTTTTGTATGCTCTGTTCCCATCTGACCTTATTCCATCTCCCCATCTGTAAATCCAGTTCCTCCATGATCACACCAGTTAGAAGGCCTCGCTCCTTTCAGGCGTTATTACCCTTCCTGTCCTCTCCCAGGATAAAAACCTCTTTCACAGAGCCAGGTCAAGTGTGTCTGTGGTCCTTCACCTATTGGGCCATTTCTCCACAAACAAGTAGATATACCTTTCATCTTCTCACCCAGCCTGCACTAGGATCACGGCAGATAAATGCTTCCAGAGGCTTTTTGAGAGGAAACTGATGTTCACTGGAAGTTCTCTGTTTACAACCGCTTTGCTTGGATAGTTTTATACCTCCAACTCTAATTTATTCATTCCACCATTCTTGTGAGTTATGAAGAATTATTTTCATTTCATGTGAGAAGAAACCATGGCCTAGAGATTTGAGGTGACTTATTCAAGGTCACCTGCATAGATAGTGGGAAAACCGGAATCCAGGACTGGTCTTGTCAGTCTGATGTGTTCTTGCTTCTTCTCCATATCCAGCAGGCAACCTGTCCTCACCTCCCGTGGTGGACACCATGCATGGCAAAGTCCTGGGGAAGTACGTCAGCTTAGAAGGATTTGTACAGCCTGTGGCCATCTTCCTGGGAGTCCCCTTTGCCAAGCCTCCTCTTGGAACCCTGAGGTTTGCTCCACCACAGCCTACAGAGCCCTGGAGCTTCGTGAAGAATGTTACCTCCTACCCACCTATGTAAGTCACTGGGGTGCCCCTGGGCCTTGTTCCACAAGAACATCTGTCTCAGTGATGCAGAAAGGAGTCAGCAATTGCGTGATCAACTGTGTTTTGTCTGAAGTCCTTACAAACACTAGAAATTAAAGCAGCCCAGAAGTTTCATGGCTTTTTAGAGCCCTTATCCATCATGTGTTCGTTTAGTGCTTCTTGTGAGTTGGGAATGCCCTGGGAGTATGAATCCATGAGCAAAGAAAACAATGATCTGCAGGATACTTGCTGTTAAGAGATAATGAGTAGAATAATAAATAATTTAGAGAATACGCTAAGTGCTTTGATGAGATAAAGGAGTTGAGCAGTAAGATTCTGCCTGTTCTGTCATTAGAAATGTGGGTGAGGGTAATGGAGGTTCACTGCACATCCAAGCATACTGCCTAGTCACAAGATGATTGGTGGTCGGTCTTCCTTCGTCACTGTGGCCTGTGAGGGAAGAATGCTGGGTACTCCAGATGGTCTGACAGCCATTCCCCAAGAAGTCTGAACACCCATCAATGTCAGTCCAGACCCGTCTTCTCAAGTCTTTCTGAAGGTTTCCAGAAACCTGCTTCTTTTGGACTCCTAACTTTTCTTTCCTTTTAAAACAACATTTATTCTTTTCTTGGTTGCAAGTTGAACACAAACAGTTTGCAAAAAATTGTTGGGGAACACAGGAAGTGGAGACAGGAAAACTGAAATTGCACACTATTTCATCATCCAGAGAGAACTGCAGGAACTTTCTCATCCTTGTCTCTGCTGTATGTTCTTCCTGTTCACAGACAGAGGCATTGTGGAGGACTCTTCACTCATTCATAAGAATATCAGGATCATCATTATTCTATCCCATAATTATCACAGTCTGATGTTAAGAAGCTGCCTTAATTTTGCTATTGAAATACAGTTTATTTAGTCAATTTCTTTCTGGGGGTCGTTGAGTTGTTTTTGATATTCTTGACCAAATGAATAGGAATATTGTGGATATGTTTTAGCTACACACTTTGATGAATATTTTAGCCCCAGAAATGGCATTACTGAATCAAATAATATGTGCTTTTGGCTCAATTTCTCTTCATAAATATTCTAAATATACACACTTCTTTCACTGATATATGAAAAAGTCGTTAGTTAGCAGATGCTTGTCAATGCTTGGGCTTAATCAAAGAATGCTTGTTTTGTGGTTTCTGAATGAGTAAACTAATAGTATTAAATCACAGCAATAATTTATAGCATTAGATCTTTGCATTATGCTTATCTAAATTACTGGTGATGTTGGACTCCTTTTCCTCTTTGGTACTTGAAAATTAAAATCTCTTACGAATATTATTCCCCTTGCTATTATTGACATGCTCTCCAAGAAGGAAATCAGAAATTCCTTTCTAGTATCTCAGATTCTGCCACTTGACATCTGTGTGATTCTGGTATCAGAGAGCCTCAGTTTTTCCTTTTATACTAAGGAGTGCATGCTTCCCTTAGAATCCACTGGGATCAGGGATGTTGATTATACTTTACCTGGAATGTAAACACTATGGTGTCTTCCTGCTCATAGTACCTTGGACAGTTTCTCTAATTAAGCTGTGCCCACTTTTCTTATTTGGAACTCAGGATATGAAAGAATGCACTCTGGATAATCTAGGGCTTAAATATGTTATCTCATAAAGGGACTTTAAATCAATACCAATTTAAATCAACTGGGAGAACTCAGTTCTCACTAATAGTTACAATCTGGGAATAATCTCTAAGACCTTTCATCAAGGAAGTCACCAATGGTTACTGGGGCAGGTGGATAATAGAACCTTATTCAGGCCAGAATGGCAAGGCCCCTGAAGACAGCACTCTTCTCAACTGTACCTGGAAGATTAGGAACCCGAGCAGGAAAGAAAGTCACCCAATGTTGCCTAGCACATCAGTGGCTGAGGCAGGGCTAGAATGAAACTCTTTGTCCCACAGAGATATGACCCCTGACCTGCCATGGGCTGTCAGTCATTAGAGGTATATTGTTGGTTGATTGAAGTATTTCAAGAACTAGATCATGTTTATGTGGTGGAGAAGTAGTCCACCCTATAGGCTATACAAAGCCTAACAGAAGAAAATCATCAGACAGGTGCCATCTTCCAGGACAAGTCAGTATGTGAGCAACTCCTTACATTGACTAAGGCAGCCCAAACACTCCGGAAAGAGGAGTGATGCTAGATCATCATCCTCTGCAGATTCAGGAGACGCTACAGAATTCCATGGTCCCTCAGGAAACACAAAGACCCCCTCACCCTTTGATACCTGTAGGAGATACCGTAACCATGCCTGCTAGGGGCTGGCTACAGGTATGCCTGACCTGCGAAGGCATGGTCATGGTGACATAGAGAAGGTTTAAGAGTGGGGGGCGTGCACATGGAACTTCTCTTCTTCCTTTTCATCATTGGCTTGCTATACTACTCCTGCCCTGCTGGCTGGCTAGGTTGCTCTGTAAGTAAGGCATCTCCCTAATAAATACCCTTATATTTTTACCTGATTCCATATTGGTAATTCCCTCATTAAATCCAACCTCATTTCCAGGTTCAAGTTTTGCAGGGCAAAGCTAAGCCCCAGGTGACATGCCCAGTATCTGTCTGGTGGAACCTCATATGTTCTCTCTTTCTCTCTGTCTCAGGTGCTCCCAAGATGCTGTGGTAGGGAAAATGATCTCTGATCTCTTCACCAACAGAAAGGAGAGCATTCCTCTCACATTTTCTGAAGACTGTCTCTACCTAAATATTTACACTCCTGCTGACTTGACAAAGAGCACAAGGCTTCCGGTGAGCATGGGGACCACTGATCTGGAGTTGTGATTTCCAGCATCTGGCTTTTCTGTGCAATTGGAAGGGGGTGAAGGAGACTGGGGACAGGGGCTCTCCGGCAGGGTCTAGAGTATTCCTTTACTATTGGGAATGCAAGCATTCCTTCCCTCACGCTGTCCTGGTGATGTCAGCCAGGCCGTGGTTGAGATTGCTACACATCTGGGATGCACACCTCACCCAGCCAAGTTCTCTCATACAAACAGAAGCACAGTGGTCTTAGTTACTAGAAAGAGAATATATAATCCCTAGAGCAGCTGAGGTATAATTTACAGAAATTTAAAGCTTGAAAGAATCTTACTGATGAATAATGAACTTTTTGTTACAGAGAGAGAGAGAAACTAGGGCAATAATTGAAGAAAAGACTATGTCAACCATTAATGATATAGGATAAGAGACTGGGTTTTCTGATCTTCACACCAGTGTCTTTGTCATGAGCTAAGAACTAGATGAGGCTGTTCCGCAGCTGTCATATGTAAAACCTTTTACTGTCCTATGGCAGTGTGGAGGGTGTAGAGTGAGACAGTGTCAGAAACACTTTGGCCATATATTTGGGACTTAATGTAGCTCATTTCCCTCCTCATCTCATCACAGGCTGGTGACCTAGTGAATTAGAATTTTCCAAATAAATGGAGAGCCAGAAATGGGGCTGGCTATTAATTGGAGGCTGAAGGTAAAGGGGCTATGGTATAGAAAATGACTCATGGAAGAAGTTGGGGTATCATGATGCTCTTGAGATGCTCTGACTTTTAACATAGGAGTGAAGTATTAGGTTATATTCTTAGAATTCCTGTTTTGTTCTGTATGTACTCTGAAACCACAAGGAAGTGGGGATAGAGACCATTCACCCATGTATTCATTTTCTCTTATACACTCAGGGTCAGTAAGAGGCGGGATAATGGACCAGTCTCATACAGCCTTCCTTCTAGTATTGTCGGTGTTTACAGTCCAGAGTGCTCCTACCAAGACATCTAGGTTCTTGTTTTCTGAAACAGAAGAGTGGATCAGGGACATATGAATAGTGACAGAAATAGAGAAAGTTGCCGGGCGTTGGTGGCACACGCCTTTAATCCCAGAACTCGGGAGGCAGAGGCAGGCAGATCTCTATGAGTTCGAGGCCAGCCTGGTCTCCAGAGCGAGTGCCAGGATAGGCTCCAAAGCTACACAGAGAAACCCTGTCTTGAAAAACCAAAAAAAAAAAAAAAGAAATAGAGAAAGTTTATTAAGAAAGAGAAAAATATTGCTGAGAATGAAGTGAGTTGGAGAACTGGGAGGGGTCTGATGCTCAGAGGCCTTGGGCCATAAGATTTTCATTTCACAGCCTGGCTTTGCCAGCATTTGAAGATCACTGGGCTTGTTTTCCATACATGCTGGCTTGTTCCATGTAATTTGTGGTCAAAGGGGTTTCCAGTTTTTCTCTGCCACTAGATTCTCTCATTTATCAATCTTAATGCCCCTCTATATCCTATTCTCCCACCTCAAATCTCCCTGAGAGCTGTGGTCCCTAAAATGTTTTAGGGGGACTGAAGAATGATGATCCATCTTGTAAAACCTTCCCCATGCTTCTGAGAGGTATAGTTCCCACCTAAGACAGATGGCAAACTCTTTATCAATTGGAGTGGAGACTTTGAATTTCATGTAGGAGAAGCTGTCTAGAATCTCTGATTCATTAGGGATATAGTTTGAAATTGTCATATCCTAGAAAACACAAACTTTACATGGCTAAAAATACCAACCCTAAGCAAGAATAACATGACTACACCAACTAATGGTGCCAGAAATGGCAAGAACCATTGAAACCATGGCACAACTTCCCTGAATCATCAATGTGATCTGTGTGTCATGTACTTTACTCTTTAGAGTGTTGTTGAAACAACAACACATGTCTTAGTGGTTATATTTTGAGAATATGACAAAATACAAAAGAACATTCAAAATAATGAAAAGGTAGAATGTATTAAAAGGAAGATAGTGTGAGTTTATTACCACTATGCCAACAACACTATTAAAAGAAAAAATAATGAAGAGAATTATAATGTAAAGTAGGGTTACAATGTTCTCAGGTTGAAGAGTCCTGGGAATAAATGACATAAAGAATAGATAAGAAAGTTATTTCTAATGCTTGGAGGTCAGTGCTGGGTATATGTCACAAATTACAAGTTTTACTTAATTGGCAATGTTATAATATTATTTAAACATTCTCATGGCAGCAGGAAAAGAACAAGCTACTGGGTCAGGGATCTTTAAAACCTCAAACCCATGCCCAGTGAAGTACCTACTCTAACAAGGCCACACCTCCTAATCCTTCCAAAGCAGTTCCACCAGCTAGAGATCAAATATTCAAATTTATGAGCCTACAGGGGTCATTTTCATTCTAACTATCCCAGGGGGGATTTCTTGGGTCTTGAGATAATCACTATATATAATAGAGTTTAACCTACAACTACAGAGTTAACTGCTATGGAGTATAAATTCAGGTAGATGAGTCCAGGGATGAGTATTGGGGAAAACAGCACATCCTTGATCCTTCCTGTGACTGCAACGATGCTATCAATGCAAAGAGCATTAGAATACATGGCACTCAGGGTGGGAGTGAAAGGCATGTACTTTCAGCAGACACAAAGTTGGATGGTGGGCTGAGCACTCGTGAGGGGATATGGAAGAAGATGCTTTTTGATCCTTGCTGGGCACTCATAGACCTTGGGCATTGGCCTCCTTCAGTCAGAGCAAGGAAAAAATCCAACAAGAACTGACAGTTTCTAGTAGCTTTCCCAGTTCTGCTTCTTATAGCCCTTGCTGCTATTTCCTGCAGGTGATGGTGTGGATCCATGGAGGGTCTCTGGTGATGGGCGGGGCATCAACTTATGATGGACTGGCCCTCTCTGCCCATGGAAATGTGGTGGTGGTAGCCATTCAGTACCGCCTTGGCATCTGGGGATTCTTCAGGTAGGTCATTGGAGACTGTGCATTAGCTCCCATAATAGTCAGTTGCATATTGGTTATACAAAATAAAAGGGTGAATTTAGCTCTGTTTTTGAAGAGTCAAAGTACAAGATCAAGTGACTTCATGGTGGCATCTGGTGAGGCCTTTATCAGCACTGCCACACCGCCAATACATCAACAGGGAGTCTTCAGCCTAAACAACTGCATACATCTCATAGTGATGTAGGGAAACAAAAGGAGGAGCCTTGTTCTTCCTATAAGAGCTTTCTCACAGATGCATTCCAAGTGCATAACCTGATGACCTAGTCACCTTCCATTTGGGCCTTGTATTGTACAGGATCCATCACTATATATTCTTGTCACTTTGGGGAACAATGAACCTTGGTAGCACAAACCATACCTAAACCATAACATCTGCCAATTCAAAGATTTTAGAACCCAGCTATAGTGATACAATCTCTCATGGAGGTCTTTGCTCAACTCTTTCAAAAACCCTCTTGTCTCTTCTTCATTATTTGACCTCACCCACCTCATTATTCCGCAGCAATGCCTGTCCATCTGCTTTTGAATGTTTGTACTGTTTCTCCTGCTTTGATTTCTACCTACCTGTGAAGCCCTGATGTGTTCTCTATGGCCCACTCTTCGTGTTATCACTTTTGAAACACTCACCTCTTTTGGCCGGTGCTGGCAGCACACTGCATTCCTCTGTACTGCTGGTTACCACACAGCATAGTAGCTGAGTTCTATACATCTTCTTATAGGAAAGGAAAGAAGGGACAGTCTGCTGAACGAACTTAGTGAGTGCTCCTGCAGGCATGTTTTCATCTGCCCATGCACTTCAAACTGCCCCAGAGGCCAACGGTGACCTTTCTCAGTACTCCTAACTGCATGTGATTCACTGCACCAGCCATGGACAGCCATTGAGGCCTCTTTGAGATAATCCTTCTCCTGGCTTTGGTCATTCCCCTTCTTGTTGGATGCCCCTTTTCCCGCTCCAGTAAATACCTGAGTGATTCCAATGGTCCGTTTGCAGCTCCCTATCTGTAGTCCTCACCTCTCCTTGGCATCCTAGGTGCTTGCCTTTAGCTACATCATCTTATTTCCCTGGGGTGTCTACAGGATGCCTTTACATTTACCTCTCCAACAAACATACCTCTTCCCTCAAAGGTCCCTGTATAGCTGCTGGCAGCTCCACTTTCCCCTTTGATCAGGACAAAGGTCTAATAGAAACCTGGATTTTTCTTTCTCTCCCTCCCTATATTCAGTTCCATATCAATTTTTCTTGGCTTCCTTTGAAATATGCTTAGAATCTAAATACATTGAATCTACTAATCAAAGCCCTATGTCTTTGACATTGATAATTATCTTTTTTTCTTATTTTTTATTAATTCAAGTTAGGAACAAGCTTGCTTCACATGTCAAACCCTTCTCCCTCTCCTGCCTCTCCCTCCAACCCCCACCTGTCCCCATCCCATCCACCCTCCAGACATTGATAATTATCTTAACCACATTTTATTGCAATATTGCTAATGTCATGATTAAAGTAGGAATGTGTCAGAGTGAGTTATGTTTTGTCACTAGACAGTGCCCCCACTTTGGTCTAGGTCTACAAGTCATACAAGGCTCACAGTGCATGCTCTTCCCACATTACACACTCTCTTCCTACACAGCTTTGTTCCCATGGCCCTGGAACCTTTCCCTTAGCTCTACTTCCTTCCTCTGATAATTTCTGAAGTAGACATGTTCATTCTATTTATCTCCGTTAAATGCCAGTGCCTCAAAGGATCTCTTCATAACCACGAAATCCTACATTCTCCCCTCTCCATCTCTTCCTAGCTTCTCTTTGCTCATTTTAATGTCCCCACTAGATGGCGGTATGCTCTCTTTTCATCTGATTGTGATTTTCATTGTGGTCAGGAGTTTTTGTTTAGTTCTCAGTTGTGCTCTAGGTCTTAGATCACTCTTAGATACATAGTGATGCTCCAGAACACACTTTCTGAGAGAGGGAAGCCTCATCTAGAACAATGCTATAAGGATGAGGGGCAGATGAAGTTCCCTGTGTCAGGAATATGGACAGAATCAGCCTTATTCCAGAATGCTCACACTGAACTTCTAGTCAATCCATGGTTCTTAGAACCTGCTATGATGTATCTGTTCATACTTGCACCCTATTTTTTTGCAGCACAGGGGATGAACACAGTCGGGGAAACTGGGGCCACTTGGACCAGGTGGCTGCATTACGCTGGGTTCAGGACAACATTGTCAACTTTGGAGGAGATCCAAGCTCTGTGACCATCTTTGGAGAGTCAGCAGGAGGTGAAAGTGTCTCTGTTCTTGTAAGTGTCCCCAGCACCAGATCTCCTACCTACCTTTATGTGGCTCTAATAGGATCTCTAGGAGGCTAGTCAGTCCAGCCATGACATTTTTGCTCTCAGAGTTCAATTTACTTATTGTATAATATCAGATAGTGTTGAGCTAAGGATCAAATTTTCCTTGCTCTCAGAAAGCTCAGAACTCAGCTTTACATACTGGTGCCATAGTAATACTTAATTATGTCTAAGCTAGGGACATACCTATCTTTTACTGTAGAGCCTTTTCTTCTTTGCTAATCCATTAGCATTAGGACTTTACATGCTTGGGAACTAGGGGTAGATAGAATTCAAATAGGAAAAAACAAAAACATGAGTGGACAGAATGCCATTCAATGGCTACAAGGAAAGTCTACATTTTGGAGAACTTGGCAACAGGCAAGAATTTCCTCTGAGGTAGTATGAAGGCTTCTCTATCTTTAAGAGGGAGAGCATCTGTAATTGAGGACTGGCAGGTTGATAAAGGTAGGTGACGGAAGAATGAGCAAAACAAGAAGTGGAGAGCAGAGCAGAGAACGTGGAACACAGACAAGTCCAGAGGGACAGTGATGTGTTGGTGTAGAAATAGGCTGTGGACACTGAGGACCCAGATGGTGTTGGGAGCTGTAAGGAACTCATTAGATACCTCTGGGATGAGCAGAGGATTGCCCCTCATTTAACCTCATTGTTCAAATGCATGCTTCTTCCATGGTTTGACAGTTACAAAACATTTTAGTGTGTTTTTAAAGTATAGTAAATGTTAAATTTCAGATGAGCCTAAGGAATAAAGTTATCCAGTGTCCCACCACCCAGGCATTGCCAATGTAATAGTTTTGACAATTTTTTTTTAGTTTTTCCACATTTTATGCCTCTTCCCTCCTCTCTGACTCCCCTATATCTCTTATCTTGTATTTTTTAAAGACAGGGTCTCACTACATAGCCCCAGCTAGCTTGAAACTTGCTATGTAGATCAGGCTGGTCCTGAATTCACAGAGAGTTTCCTGACTCTGCTTCCTGAATCCTGAGATTGATGGTATGTGCCATCATGCCTAGATCCATCTCTATCTATCTTTACCTCCCCATGTATCATTTCGTCATTATTTATCTATGATTTTAACAAATTCCTTTTAATATTGTAATATAGTATAAATATTTCCCAAAACATTAAACTCTCTTATGTAATATTATTTTTTTTACCTATCTAATCTCCTAATATTAAATTATTGAGTTATCCTGGCACTGTTTTCTGGTAAGAACCTTCAGCTAAATGGATCATCGGCCTTAGGAGAGAGTGTACTACTATTATTCTGCTAAATGAACATAGAACTAAAGTAATCTCTAAGAACTTAGCATTATACCTAGAGGTTAGCGCATCTCTCAGCCCTCACCACAGAAGTGCCTTTTTTCAGTAGATGGTGATGAATGCAGAGAATAGGAGACTGCAGAAGGTGCAGACCCAAATGGACAACTATACTACATCCCTTCTTCCAAGACTCAAGGGTCATTGCAGAAGAGGGGAGTGTTGTATGAGTTAGAGGTGGTGGATGACTGCAACACAGGGGTGACTGTAACAGGGATGGCACAACAGGGCAGTTACACAACTTTAACACAACTGGTCTCAACATGTGGGTTGTGATTCCTTTGAGGGTCAAATGACCCTTTCACAGGGGTCACCTGAGACCATCAGAAAACACAGATATTTACATTAAGTTTCCTAATAGTAACAGAATTATGGCTTTGAAGTAGCAACAAAAATAATTTAATGGTCGGAGGTCAACATAACATGAAGAACTGAGTTAAAGGGTTGCAGCATTAGGAAGGTTGAGAACACTGCTTTAAGTGGATATCTCCTGGTAGCCAGAATAACTTCTTTTTTGGTTCTTTTTGTTCAGACTACCCTTTCGTAGGATTAATTCCAAGTAATAGAAGTGCTGAAATGGAATCTGAGGTCAGGGATTGTTAACTCTCTTTCCAATAGTTTTGTTGTTATGATTGAGTACTTAACACATACATACTTCCCTTTCTGTTTCTTACTCAAAACTCTGGTTCCAGTGAGACTCTCTTAGGAAAATTGGTCTTACAGGTAACCTGGGGTGCATGCTGGGATACATGATTGTATCTATAGAGTACCAAAGTCCCTAGATAGCCAGGACCGAGAAGCACATAGAGGGAGACTTAATGGGCAAATGAGTCACTGACCACTTCTGTGAATACAAACTCTGTTTCTTCCTGCCAGCTGTTGTCTCCTCTGGCCAAGAACCTTTTCCACAGAGCCATTTCTGAGAGTGGTGTGGCCCTTATCCCGGGTATGGTCAGGAAAGATGTCAGACCTGTGGCTGAGGTAAGACCTACCTGGAACACCTCCCATGCCCTTTCTTCTGCTCTTCTGGAGTCCTTGGAGGTCTTTCTTGCCTAAAGATTCAGGTATAAACCAGATGGCGTCCCAGTGCAGAGAGGAAAAGTGGACACAAGCCCCCCCAAAGTACTTCTCACAAAGGAAAAAAATTAGTGTTCTCTGATGAAATCTCACTGAGCATACAATCTATTAAGGGCAGGCCCCATAGATGGCCAACACAAAATTAACAATGAACCCTGTTAAAAAGCATTTTTGGAGTGGTTTTTTTTGTCTCATAATGCTTGGTTTGGACATTTGGTTTCCAGTTTTGTGTTTCTATAGGATTTCTGTTTGTGAATATGTGTGTCCTTGCATCTGTATGTTTCTTGTGCCTTTTCTTTGGCCTTTTTCCTATTTATTATTATTATTATTATTATTATTATTATTATTATTATGATGATGATGATGATGATGATGATGATGATGATGATGGGATACATTATTATATATTATAATGAGAAAGAGAAAGGAAAAGTGTGGATTTGGGTGGGTGTGGAGGTATGAGGATCTGGGAGGAGTTGGGGAAGAGAAACTGGAATCAGGATATATTGTATGAAAAAAACAAATAAAGGTACTTACAGAATCTCAGAAGTGAGAACAGCTGAGCAGGAAAGCCTGCAGAGTTCCACCCAAACCACATTCTCTAAGCCTGGATGTATCATTGTGTAATTTGTGTTGTCTAGGCTTCCTATAAGTTATGATGTATAGAGATAAGAACCTTCCTTCATTATGTCACAGGCACCAGCCCTCCTTATGTGACAGGTGCAATAATCATCCTAATCTTTTGGTAGAAACATTGAAAGTAAAAGGCCAGAGAATAGAGAAGGATGTTGTGAATCAGACAGTGAAATTTAAGATTCCCTGCTCTTCATTGCATGAAACACAGCTGGTGCCAATTTTTACAGTTCAGGTAATAGAGATATAGATATAATGTCATCATTTCAATTAGAAACATATGTAAACCCCCTGTTGGTCACATGCCCGTTGGTCTAGAGAATTTTCAAGTACCCCCTGCCTTCTTCAGAAATCAAGGATGGTGTCAAAAACTTCTATCTATATTGATGGAGGGAAGGGACATTGATCTTGACCTCTGCTGATACTTTTGATTTTGTATAGCAAGTTGCTATTGCTGCTGGGTGTGCAACCACCACCTCAGCTGTCATGGTTAACTGCCTTCACCAGAAGACAGAGGATGAGCTCTTGGAGACCACACTGAAACTGGTAGGTTTGCTCCTCTGAGTAGCCCCACCTTGTTTCCTTATCTCAAGACTTATCTATTTAGCTGTACCTTACTTTGGGTGGTCTGTCCAAGAAAGTTCTCACCTGTTAGAAGCCTTTTGACCCAAACTTGGAATTCCATTATTCTATGTTATTATGAAATACCACAAATATAAGAAAGTTCAAAAGCAGCAGGATGGCAATTGTGTAATAGGGCTGGGGATGGCACCTATGTTACAGCACTGGCACTATGTGGGCAAACTCCTCAGCTCTTCAACAAAGCAACCATGTAGCAATCTATGATCTATCCTAAAGCAATACTAGTCATCCTATTAATGTTTCATATTTTTATTTTCAGAAATTTAAATTTCCCTATTCCACAAATAATTGCTATTATGAACTTTAGGATGAGGCCATTAAGCACAGTTTTTAGAAGAATGGTGCCACAATTTATTTAGTTTTTATGAGCATCTGTCCCAATTTTGGGAATAGATCAACCTTCCTTCCTTCCTTCCTTCCTTCCTTCCTTCCTTCCTTCCTTCCTTATTTCCTTCCTTCCTTCCTTCTTTCCTTCCTCTCTTCCTTCTCCTTCCCTCCCTCCTTCCTCTCTCCCTTCCCCTTCCTTCCTTCCTTTCCTCCTTCCTTCCTTCCTTCCCTCCCTCCCTCCCTCCCTCCTTCCCTTCCCCTCCCTCCCTGCTTCTCTCTCTCTCTCTTTCTCTCTCTCTCTCTCTCTCTTTCTTTCTTTCTTTCTTTCTTTCTTTCTTTCTTTCTTTCCTTGGTTTTTCTAGACAGGGTTTCTCTGTGTAGTCCTGGCTGTTCCAGCACTCACTCTGTAGATAAGGCTGGCCTTGAACTCACAGAGATCTGCCTGCCTCTGCCTCATGAATCTGGGATTAAAGGTGTGAGTCACCATGCTAAGCTTTTTTTTTTTCCTGTACTATTTCTTTATCTGTCATCCATCGATCTGTCCATCGATCCATGGATCCATCATCCATCCATCCATCCATCCATCCATCCATCCATCCATCCATCCATCCATCCACCCGCCCAATATAGCTTTATTTTTAAATTTTTAAGGTTATAACTACAAAATCTCTCCTTTCCTTTTCCTCTACCCAAATGCTCTCATATGCCCTTCCCTACTCTCCTTCAAATTTGTGACCTCTTTTCTCACTGATAGTTATTGCATGAAATTATGTATTTGTTTATTCACATATGTTCCTAAATATAACCTGTTCATGCCATATAATGTTACTTGTATATATGTTTTCAAGGCTGACCATTTGGCATTGGGAAACCAATTGCTGTGCTCTTCCCGGAGAAGAGATCACCTCTCCAGCTCCCAGCTTACCCCTGTTGCTATAGTTCTGTGTGTAGGGTCAAGGTCTTATGAGCTTTACCCCATCTATTACAGTGGATGGGTCCTAGGACTGATTCCTATATATAGGACAGACCTGAAAGCTAAGTTGTAGCATTGTGATCACTGCAGCTTTGATGAACACACTACAGAAAAGCATGGTTTAGAACTAGAAAATGAGATTATTAGGGTCAAGGTTTCCTAATGTAAGACAGAACTCGGGGCCTGAGGCCTTGGACTGACAAAGGAAAGAGCAACAGAATCTTCAAGGGGCTCATGTCTTAGCATGTGGACTCTGGAGATGTTATTGAGACTCTACATCACAGCTTTAATGTTTCTTTATTGGCATCTTTTGGAAGCATATTTATCTTCTTGGCAGGTTAAAGACAGAGCACTCTACACTATTTCCTATTTCCTTAGAAACTGTCTAAGTCCCAACATTTGATTTGAATTCTGTTGCACTGACAGTGGCACACATCCATCTTTGGACTAGCCTCTAGGTTCAGGGACATGGTGACTCAACTCATACAGATGTCTGAACTTACAAAGTGATAGCAGAGAAGGGTGGGGGAGGGACAAACCAATTCTCTTTTGATGGTCCATCCTGCCTCCTGCTTTATCTCACCTTGAGGCCATTATATCCCTGCTACCAAGTCATTTTATCTTTCCTTTTTTTCACCAAAGGAGAATTTTGGTGTTATTGCCAGGGAATATGGGTAGATAGAAAACACAAGTTGGCCCTCCTACCAGCAGCAGAGGACTGTTCCCATTTCTCCACATCCTCTCCAGCATTAACTATCATTGGTATTATTGATTTTAGCCATTCTAACAGGAGTAAGATGGTATCTCAGAGTTGTTTTGATTTGCATTTCCTTGATGGCTAAGGATGTTGAATACTTTCTTATGTGTCTTTTCAGCCATTTTAGATTCCTCAATTGAGAATTGTCTATTTAGTTCTGTTACCCCACTTTTTAATTGGATTGTTTGGTGTTTTGGAGATTCCCTTCTTGAGTTCTTTGTATATTTTGGAGATCATCCCTCTGTTAGAAGTGGGGTTGGTGAATATCTTTTCCCAGTCTGTGGGCTGTCGTTTTGTCTTGCTGACTGTGTCCTTAGCCTTACAGAAGCTTCTCAGTTTCAGGAGGTCCCATTTATCAATTGTTGATCTCAGTGTCTATGCTACTGGTGTAGTGTTCAGGAATCAGTCTCCTGTACCAATTAATTTGAGGGTATTTCCCACTTTGTCTTCTAATAGGTTCAGTGTGGCTGAATTTATGTTGAGGTCTTTGATCCATTTGGACTTAAGTTTTTTTTCAGATTTTTTTTATTTGAGTTAGAAACAGGATTGCTATACATGACAATCCCAGTTCCCTTCTCCTTCCCGTCCTCCCCTACCAACCCCGCAACTAAAGCCCTACCTATCCTTTCTGCTCCCCCTGGATGGTGAGGCCTTCCATAGGGTGTCATCAGAGTCTGTCATATCCTTTGGGATAGGGCCTAGGCCCACCCCTGTGTGTCTTGGCTTAGGGAGTATTCCTCTATGTGGAATGAGCTCCCAAAGTCCACACCAATGCTAGGGATAAGTACTGACCATCTACAGGAGGTCCCATAGATTTCTGAGGTTTCCTCACTGAAACCCATGTTTCTGGGGTCTGGATCAGTCGCATGCTGGTATCTCAGCTATCAGTCTGGGGAGCAAGAATTCCCCAATGTTCAGGTCAGCTGTTTCTGTGGGTTTTACCAGCCTGGTCTATAACCCTTTGCTCTTCACTCATCCTTCTCTGCATCTGGATTCCAGTTCAGTTCAGTGATTCGTTGTGGGTGCCTGCTTCTACTTCCCCCAGCTTCTGGATGAGGGATATCGGGTGGCATATAAGTCAGTCATCAATGTCATTATCTGGGGAGGACATTTCATGTAGCCTCTCCTCTGTTGCTTAGATTGTTAGCTTGTGTCATCTTTGTAGATCTCCAGACATTTCCCCTAGTGCCTGATTTTTCTGTAAACCTAAAATGTCTCCCTCTATTATGGTATCTCCATTCTTGTTATCATCTATTCTTCCCCTGACTCAACCTTTCTGCTTCCTCATGTCCTCTGCATCCCTCTCTTTTCCCCTTCTCATTCTTGTAGCTCCCTCCCCCCTCTTCCCGTGCTCCCAATTTGCTCAGGGGATCTTGACCCTTTCCCCTTCTCCAAGGAACCATGTATGTTTCTTTTAGGGTCCTCCTTGTTTACTGGCTTCTCTGGCAGTGTGGATTGTAGGCTGGTAATCCTTTACTCTATGTCTAAAATCTGCATATGAGTGAGTACATACCATGTTTGTCTTTTTTTGATTGGGTTACCTGGCTCAGAATGGTTTCTTCTAGTTCCATCCATTTTTCTGCAAATTTCCAGATTCCATTTTTTTTTTCAGCTGAGTAATACTCCATTGTGTAAATGTTACACATTTTCTCTATCCATTTTTCAGTTGAGGGGCATCTAGGCTGCTTCCAGTTTCTGGATATTACAAATAGTAAACATCTTTGAACAGATGTCCTTGTTGTATGAATGTGCTTCTTTTGGTTATATGCTTAAGAGTGGAATTGCTGCATCCTGTGGTAGACTGATTCCCATTTCCTTGAGGAGTCGCCATACTTATTTCCAAAGTGGCTGTACAAGTTGGCACTCCCACCAACAGTGGAGAGGTATACCCCTTTCTCCACATCCTCTCCAGCATAAACTGTCATTGGTGTTTTGGCCATTCTGACAGGAGTAAGTTGGTATCTCAGAGTTGTTTTGATTTGCATTTCCCTGATGGCTAAGGATGTTGAACACTTTCTTAAGTATTTTTCAGCCATTTTAGATTTCTCTATTGAGAATTATCCATTTAGTTCTGCACCCCACTTTTTAATTGGATTGTTTGGTGTTTTGGAGACTAGCTTCTTGAATTCTTTGTATATTTTGGGCATCAGCACTCTGTGAGATGTGGGGTTGGTGAATATCTTTTCCCAGTCTGTGGGCTGTCGTTTTGTCTTGCTGATTGTGTCCTTAGTCTTACAGAAGCTTCTCAGTTCCAGGAGGTCCCATTTATCAATTATTGATCTCAGTGTCTGTGCTACTAGTGTAATGTTCAGGAAGCAGTCTCCTGTACCAATTAATTCAAGGGTATTTCCCACTTTGTCTTCTAATAGGTTCAGTGTGGCTGAATTTATGTTGAGGTCTTTGATCCATTTGGACTTAAGTTTTGTGTATGCCAATAGGCTTGGGTCTATCTGCATTCTTCTACATGTCCACAACCAGTTATGCCAGCACCATTTGTTGAAGATGTTCTCTTTGTTCCATCATATAAATTTGGATTGTTTATCAAAAATCAGGTGTTCATAGGTGTGTGGGAATTCTTGGTCCCTAGACTGATAGCTGGGATACCAGCATGGGACTGATCCAGATCCTAGGAACATGGGTTTCAATGAGGAGACCTCAGAAATCTACGGGACCTCCTGTAGTAGTTCAGTGTTTATCCCTAGCATAGGTGTGGACTTTGGCAGCACAATCCACATAGAGGGATACTGCCTGAGCCAAGATACACATGGGTGGACCTAGGCCCTATCCCAAAGGATATGATAGACTCTGATGACCCCCCTATGGAAGACCTCACCCTCCCTGGGGAGCAGAAAGGATATGTGATAGGTAGGGTTTTAGTTGGGGGGTGGTAGGGGAGGAGGGAGGGAATGGGAACTGGGAGTGATATGTAAAACAAACTTGTTTCTAATTCAAATAAAAAAGATGGAAAAAATAATCTATGATAAACAGCAAATATTAAACATTAAGACAATAAAAGAGAAAAGACAAAGAATAACCTCATAGGCAGTAGGTGTCTTCCCCAGAGCTTCAGCAATCTGGGCTCTGAGTCTAAGAATCTACCTCATTGATGCCCCCTTCTCTCATCCCAGACCATGCCAATATTCAGAGAATTCTGCGTAGTGTCCTCTTAGCCTGGGCCCATATAAGGAGGAGCTACAAGGGATAACCTGATGCCTTAGGGATGACAGTCAAAGGATCAGCTTTTATTCATGGAGACCATCTCACTAAAATCTCTACCTCTTTCTTTATAGAAACTTTTTAAGGTCAATTTACTTGGAGACTCCAGAGAGGTAAGGAACTTTTCCCTCTGAATTATCAGTTTTTAATCTTATTAGTATTATTCCATGTCAAACTATGAATGGAGAATTTTCCTATGTGGATTCCTTGTGTGTTTACTGCTGATGCCCTAAGAGGGAAAGTCATTTGCCAGGGTAACACAGACACAGACATGAAGACTGGAGTTAAGTCTTGCCTGGCTTCTACTCCAGTGCTTCCTGTCAACAACTCATATCCCCTGCTAGATTCCACATTCTCATCTACATTTTCTTCTTCCAAAATGGCTCTGGGGTGGGTAGGCTACATTAGGACCTTCCTCTGTCTGTGGCATCTTCCATTTCAGTGTTGGAATGTATATGCAGAAAACAAAATGTTATGTGTTCAGACTTAAGATAAAAATGAAATTGGCAGGTGTTGAGAGCATCAATTAACATCTCAGCACATCCAAAAGAGGGAGGAAGGTGTTCCTGCTTGTCTTGCTGTGGGGAAAGAACTGCTCCTTCCGAAGTGTGTGATAAAACTGTGGCAGGATGGAAGGCGGCTACATCTGCAGACATGGGAAGGGGTTGACCTTTTCTTTCGTTCTGAAGACTTGGCCGTTCTTCCTTCCTTCCTTCCTTCCTTCCTTCCTTCCTTCCTTCCTTCCTTCCTTCCTTTTTGGATGAAAAAATTCAAACAATCTTAAAAAAATTTTATATATCAAACTCAGTTCCCTCTCCCTCTCCCTCTTTTGCTCCCCCATCTCCCCTGTGAAGGCAGGGGTTTAAATGTGTTAACTAGGCCCACGATAAATGATAAATAAGTATTTATTAGGAAAGCACTTACACAGGTAAGAGTAAATAACCACAGAGGTCTTCCTGATCCAGAAGATGTAGTCTCTGTCCTTCTGATGCTCTCCACAACCCAAGAGAGCTTGAGACCGCCTCTTTTCTACCTTAATGGGTCACATCAGCACCTGAAACCATGCCTAAAGGGTCCATCACCACAAGTTCATTGGAAAGGTAAGATGCCCTACCCATCCCCATCTACTACTCAGAGAGGGTGAGAGTCAAAAAAATCTGTCAGATCACATTGAGGCAGGACCAAGGCCCTCCCCCCTGTATCTAGGGTGAGAGATTATCCCTCCATAGGGAATGGGCTCCAAAAAGACAGTTCATGCAGTAGGGATAAATCCTAGTCCCACTGCCAGTGGCCCCATAAACTTTCCAAGCCACACAACTGTCATCCGCATTTAGAGGGCCTAGTTTGGTCTTATGCAGTTTCCCCAGCTGTCAGTCTGAAGTCAGTGAGCTCCCACTAGCTTGGGTCAGTTGTTTCTGTGGGTTTCCTCATTGTGGTCTTGACCCCTTTGCTCATATTATTTATCCTCTCTCTCTTCAACTGGACTTTGGGAGCTCCACCCAGTGCTTAGCTGTGGATATCTGCTTCTGCTTCCATCAGCTACTGGATGAAGGCTCTAGGATGATAATTACAGTAGTCCTCCATCTGATTACAGGAAAAGGCCAGTTCAGACATCCTCTCCTCTATTGCTTAGAGTTTTATCTGGGGTCATCCTTGTGTATTCCTGGGAATCTTCCTAGTGCCAGGTTTCTTGCTAATCTCATAAAGGTTCCCTCTACCAAGATGTTTCTTTCCCTGCTCTGCCTCTCTGTCTTTCCCCCAACTCGACCATCCTGTTCCCTCATATTCTCATCCTCTCTCTCATTTTCCACTTTTCTCACCCTTGTCCCCCTCCCCATGCTCCCCGTTTACTCAGGAGATTGTGTCTATTTCTCCTTCCCAGGGGAATCCACGTATCTTTCTTTTCCCTCCCTTTCTTCTCTACTTCTTTTGGGAGATAAGGTCTCAGTCACTAGCCCAGGATAATCTTGAACTCAGCATGTAGCTCAGGCTCACTTCAAACCTGTAGCAATCCTCCTGCCTCAGGCTCCAGAGTGTCAGAATTTCAGGCAGGGGCCACTATGCCTCCTCATGATGATAGTTTTTTTTTAAAAAAAGCATAATGTAATGTTGCAATAAGTCTTTCTGCCAAAAGCCCCTAGCCCCACCGCCATGTGTGAGCTTTTTGCCAGCCGCCGGCCTGAGTTAGGCCCAAATGAATACACAGAAACTGGTATTAGGTTCAAAGCTGCTTGGCCAATGACTAGGATTTCTCATCTGCTAGCTCAGTCTTAACTATCATAAACCTATATATTTTATAAGACTTATCTTATCAGACGCCTTATTGGCATCCCTCCTTGCCGGTGGATCACATCCTGCCACTGGAGGATGTGAATGGGATAAAGGGGCCCTTCCTGTTTCTCCTTCGATTAAATATGTCCCCTTGCTATGTCACTTCCTGCCTGGATCACCACTTCTCTACTACATTTCCCAGAATCCTCTTTGACTTCTAGTCCTGTCTAACTTGCTGTCTCGTTGGCCAAACAGTATTTTATTTAACAATCAATAAGATAAACATACACAGTACATCATGGAAAGCATGTTTGTGAGATTGAAGCCAAAAGGAATTTACAACTAATTTACTCAGGTCAGGAAAATGTTAAAAATTTTTTAGTCATTGTATAAATGTTACATGTATCAATAAACCTAAACAGCACATTGTGTTTATAAACAGGAACTCCCACACAAGTAAGAGCTGATGAAAACTTTGTGATTAGAGGCTCCTAGGGCTCTAGAATTCTAACTGGAGAATTCTCCTTGGAGTGGTGACTCAATATTTATTAATTTCATATTTACTGCAACTTTGAAGACATAAGTTCTACAAAGAGCAAGAACTCTATATGTATATAATATCTGTATGTCCACATGTGTATTTATGTGTAAATAAATCACAATTATTCTCATACCAAGTATATTTCAATTTAAGTGAAGATGCCCTGTGCACCCCTCTATATCATCATTGCTAGCTTCCCAGTTGGCATTCTGCCCTCATGTCTCAGCCCCCTTGTTAGGACTGTAAGTCTCTGTGACTATTGCTCATAGCCACCGGAGTCTGGGTACTCACTTTGTATTCTCAAAGGTAGGGTGGGACATAGCGTTCTCTGGGAAGAAATAATCACAGATAGTGCTTCTTTTCTCTCCCCTAGAACTGCCCCTTCCTGCCTACTGCTATTGATGGAGTGCTGCTGCCCAAGGCACCAGAAGAGATTCTGACTGAGAAGAATTTCAGCATTGTACCCTACATTGTGGGGATCAACAAGCAAGAGTTTGGTTGGCTTCTTCCACTGGTAAGAAAGTCCAGATGTGACACAGATACACCCCACCCTAAGTCACTCAAGGCTTTACTACCTCTTCTCTGAGTCCAGAGAAACTGAGCTCACTGTTATGAGTAGACATTGGCATGAAAATCTTCTCCATTGTTCAACCCTGGGAGCCTTTGTAATGTATCTCATAAACACTCTTCTTATTAAAGAGTCCTGTATGGACCCATGGAAGTAATAATTGTGTCTTTCTCAGAAGGACATCCAGACAAGGGAAGGAACTGGAGAGTAGGGAGAGCTGGGCCTAGCATAATTGCTTCCAGTCTGCATGTGGAGTCCCTGGTCCTGTGGATCTCCATACATAATCTCAGGTGTCTCAGTGGACAGTTAAGTCAGATGCTAGTTGAAGCAGTGGGATAGGCTTTATGCAGTAATATGACTGCAGTAAGTTAAACAATTAATCATTCCTGGAACCTAGATCCCTGACACTAAAAGATATTGATGACTCCAGGATGGACTGAGTGCAAAGAAGGTATTGAGGCTGTGAGTCCAAGTGGCTCTACCCAGGCTTTAGTAATTAATGATCACCTGCAGGAGAACTGTCAAACTCTTCATGATAGGAATCAGAGTTGTGAAGGAAGGTGCTCATGGGATTCAAACATCTGTCTGCAGAGAGTGGTAGCTTGGCCAAGACTTATCTCACCAAATACTGCTATTTGAAGACATTTTGAATTATTTTTATTTTTTATAGATTGCTCTCAGGTCTTTGAGGAGATGGCTTTGAGTAGGAGATTCACATCCCAAGCAGGGAAATGGTTGATAATTGATACTTTCTAGAATAACTGTACCCAAAAGCATCAAGCTTTCTCATGCAGGCATAGTGGGGGCTGTGCTTATCCTGGGCTATGCCTTAGGCTACTGTACTCCTTAGCCATGCTATACTCCTGTCTCTGACTGAAGAGCTTTGAATATAGCCAGCAACATGCTGAGAGTTCTGCAGCTCTCACTGCAGGAGAATTTCAGAGGTCACCAAGAACACAAGCATCACGATTGATATTGGTTTCTGCTATTATCCAAGTCTGAGGGGTGGTGTGTTCTATGTCCTCTGTCCCTGAGATCTCTGCTTCTGCATACACTACCATTGTTTATATTTTTTCACTGACTGAAGGATCAGCACACCACATAGACTGACATGTCAAATACACACACACACACACACACACACACACACACACACACACACACACACACACCTACCTTAGTATTTCTTGAATTTTTAGATCTAAGTCCTTTTGTTTCATTGATTTTTTTCTAATTCTTGGAAGATCTGTGCTCCTTGAGGCCCAACAAAGAAATTTTGTGTTTTTAATGGATTTTATTGCTTTTCCTATTAGGTTCTTTCTGTTAATTCTTGAAGACTCACAAGTACTTGACACATTGTTTTTTTGCAACAGATTATGGGATATCCACTCTCTGCAGGCAAACTGGACCAGAAGACAGCCACATCTCTTCTGAGGAAGTCTAGCCCCTATTTCGTAAGAGGCTTATGGGGATTATGAGAATTGACTGAAAGCACAGAAGGGCTGGGGACTCATCTCAAATAACAGAAAATCCAATGGCACAAATATACGTAGGCTTGGAGTTCTGTTTCATTTTCCTGTCTGTAACACTTCATCATCCTACCAGGGACTGAAGGGTTAAAAGGGCTCATGATCAATGAAAACTTCTAAACCACATTGCTCCTCATTCAGGGCAGGGGTTGCTTCTTTGATCCATTTCAGAATGTCCCTGAGGATGCCATTCCAGCAGCCATCAAGGAGTACTTAGGAGGGGCAGAAGACCCTGTCAAAAACAAAGACCTGTTTGTAGACTTGATAGGAGATGTGTTACTTGCTGTGCCATCTGTGATTGTGGCCCGTCATCACAGAGGTGAGACCCAGGGGTTGGGTTGCAGAGGGTCACTGACATCAGTATTAGTTTCTGACCCATTTATCTCCTAGTATGGACAGACATGGACACTGTTGAAAGTTAGGCCCTAAGTCTTGTTCTACATGGTTGTGGATGGGTAGTGACCTGTTGTATTATCTGCCTTTAAGTAGCACCTGCTGAGGAAAGGACCCAAATGCATGTAATTAATTTAGAAGGTGGTTCTAGAAAACATAGACGGGAGATGAGGAAATGACACAGGAAGATCAGGAGGATCTTGGTGATGCATGCTAAGCACATATTTAACATAGATGGTAGAAGCTGGAGAGCTCGAGAGAACAGTCAAGAGTTTCTCCTAGTGCTGGGGACCCTGATACCATCCAGGTGTGTGCCTCAGCATGAATTGTACATGGACCTGTGTTTTCTCAGATGCTGGAGCCCCCATATACATGTATGAATTTCAGTACCACCCAAGCTTCTCATCGGACTTGAAACCTGGGATGGTGATGGGAGACCACGGGGATGAGCTCTTCTCAGTATTTGGTGCCCCTTTTACAAAAGGTAATGACTCCTTGTTAGTTATGTGCCTGAAGATAGGAGGCCTGGACTCCAGTCTTCTTTGGGTGTTCTTGAGAGAGTTTCTCCTCTTTGATTTTAGTTTCATGGTTCATCAAAAGGAGCTGAGTTAGCTTGAGCAGTCCCTAGTCTTTCCCTGCTCTAATGGGCATGAAAGAGGACTGTGTTTGTGTCCCCGGCATAGTCTCTTAGAATCCTGTACATTGCATTGCCTGAAGATGAGAGTGCCAGTAGTTTCCTGCTCATAGGAGTATGGCGAAGGTTGGAATTTGCATTAACCTTGAATTAGGTATAAAGTGTTTATCTATGTCTCTATATATTTAAAACTTAGATAATTTTAGCTCTGGCATGTTTTCACAAATGTCTCCAGTACCTTAACTCTCAGCAGTCCCATCTGACTCTCATGGCACACCAGTAACTCCAATCTGGATTACTCATTAGGATTTTCACATTTCTAATATATTTTAGACTGTGAAAGCTGTGTGTGTGTGTGTGTGTGTGTGTGTGTGTGTGTGTGTGTGTGTTTTAAAGCCGTGAGTTATGGCACCTCAAACTTATAGGACAAGCTGGAGATATGGTATGGAAAACAAAAGCATCCAGCTTTCTGATGGATTACATGCACAGTGCTGAAAGTGTGAAATTGGCCAGTATTTTATTCAAATGTAGATATTTTGACTCAGTTAATATGGTATAAGAGTAGAGAATCCATAATGGTAAAGGATTTCATGGCAGTGATGCTGCTGGCTTGTGGCCCAGTATGAGCATCAAAGGGCTTTTACCTTCTTTCTCACAGGGGTTGCCTCAGGTGAAGAAAGCAGAATCAGCAAGATGGTGATGAAGTTTTGGGGCAATTTTGCTTGGAATGGGTGAGACTGGTGGCAATGATGGACAGGGATAATGGGAGAGCTAGGATGTTATGGGGGTACCCATGGGGAAGTGGTGGATTTTAAAGTTGAACTGGACAAAGGCCTGAGCATATGACTGTTGTACTTTGACAATGAGAACTCTCTAACAGTGGTCAGGCTATCCAAGTAGATGGAGTGCTCCTCATCTCCAGAGCTGTATGACCCATGGCAACAGTATGCCCAGAATCTATCCAATTTTTGGAGAGACATGGGAACCATAAAGCAGATTTGAGAAACTTTGATTTTGATTCTAGGAATCCCAATGGGAAGACATTGCCTGCATGGCCAGAATACAACCAGAAGGAAGAATACTTGAAGATTGGTGCAACCACTCAGGCAGCCCAAGGGCTGAAAGATAAGGAAGTGGCATTTTGGACTAAAGTCTGGACTAAGAAGGCAGCAGAGAAGCCACTCCAGGAGAAAAAAAAAAAGACTGAACTCTGATTGGGAAGCCCAGCTAGCTTTGGGGGGTCAATGCAGCAAAGGCAGTGCTAGACCATGTGGTGTTTGTAGATGAAAGGTTTCTTGCTGTGGAGACCACAGGACTGTGTGTGATGGGGTGTGGGAAGGAAAGAAAGATGGGATGTTTATCTCATGGCCTCAATTTCCAGAAGACTTTAGCTCTTTTAGAGACCACATCAGTGTCTGTGTTGTCTTTGGCTCTAAATTAACACACCCTTCTCTGGCAGAGAAGGATGAAAAGAATGAAAAGTGAAAATGATGAAAACCATCATAGGAAGACAACACCACAGGGGTGGCTGGAGGAATGGTTGACCCGAAAAACAAAGGTAGATGAGCACTTTGGAGGAGGAAGGTGTGAATATTGATCAGCTCACCTTCCCTCTCCAGCATGTGAGGAGAATGACTAGACTCTAGAGTTTATTAAAGTGCTAAAAGTTGCACATGGGCTACATCAAGGGCATAGAACCCCTGGGAACCACCCTCCCAGGGGGAGATTACATCCATCACATACTGACAGTTGTCCATGATGAAGATTGGGGACAGTAGAATGACCAGATAAAGTTTGTCCCTTGGGGTTCAGGTTCAAAACATGTCACAGGGACTGAAGAGATGGCCCAGGAATTAGAAGCATTTGCTGCTTTTCCTGAAGACCTGGGTTCAATTTCCAGAACCCACATGGTAGTTTGCAACTATCTATAATTCCAGTTCCAGGGGATTTGATGCCCTGTGAACACCAGGTATGTACATTGTACACAGAGATATATGTAGGTCAAATTCTCATACACATACAATGAGCAAACACCCAAACACTGAAGACCACATAGGAACAAATTCCCTTAGCACCTGGAGGGAAAACAAGTTAAATAGGTTCTGGTGAAGACCTATTAAGGACACACAAAGAAAAATTGTGACAATTTATGCTCTTAGTGGGGACACAGGAGACTGTCATGGATCAAGATCCTTGTAGACCTTTTAGTGTTGATATTTTAGGACTTCTACTGCTAAACATCATGATCAAAAGCGACTTGGGGAAAAAGGGATTTATTTTATCTTGCAGTTTCACATCACAGTCCATCCCTGAGGGAAGTCAGGACAGGAATTCAAGGCAGGAACCTGGAGACAGGAGCTGATGCAGAGGACATGGAGGAGTGCCACTTACTGGCTTGCTCCTCATGGCTCGCTCAGCCTGCTTTCTTATAGAACCCAGGGCCACCTTCCTAGGGGTTGTACCACCCACATGGGGTGAGCCTTCCCATATCAATTACTAATTAAGAAATGTTCAAGAGACCTGTCTACAGGCCAATTTTCTCAGTTAAGATTCCTTCTTCCCAGATATGTCTAGGTTTGTGTCAAGCTGACAAAACAAACAAACAAACAAACAAACAAACAACAACAACAAAAACCCAACCAGCACAGTTGGGAAGACACAGGATCTTTGAGAAGGGTCCATCTCCAAGACTGAGGAATACAGGGTCCCCCTAAAATTGAGACTAGACCAAAACTAGAGAAATCACTTCTGTGTGCTACTTCTGAGTCAGTAGACATGAACTTTCAAGTACTAGAAACAGGCTGGGTAAGGAAGGCATGGGAAACAACTCACTCTGGAGGGAGGTGAAAACAGCTGGCAAAATATATGACAGAAATAGCATCAAATAAAAGAGGTAATACTTGAAATTTTTTAAAATGATAGCTATCAGACTATTGTTTGAAGAGATAATGAGATCAAAGCTGGATATGGTACCCAGGGCGACCAGTAAAGATTTTTCTCTCCTTCTACACAAGAAGGAAAATGTGCAAGTCATAACTCTTGCTTAATATATGCCTAGAAAACCAGAATATTATTGATAACAACAGTCTGTTGCCAACCTGAGCACTAATGGGTCCCCTTGGTTATAGGTGCCTCTGTATGCCTTGTTGGATGAATGTGGAGAAATGAGTCCCTAGGTGTCCCTGTGTGAATAGGGTACCACCCATTTCTCTTCTGAAAATATAGTGTTTTAAATTTGTTAAAACGTTTACACCCTTCACACCCTTAAGCCTATGCCTTACATACACTGAAGCCATCTTTCTTATTGTCCCCATGCAAATTACTTGGTCTGTTTTCATTTATTTTATTTATTTTTTTAACACTTGGAAAATGGTTTAATGTTTTACAACAGAAATTGGAACTATACAGTTACAGTAAGTTTAATATATATATAAAAAGGAGAGCAGACAAATGCATCTACACAAACCCACCATTTCATTCTGATTCACTGGCACCCACAAAATCTCTCCCAAAGCCTGTGGCCCCTCTGGAAGCCCCAGAAAGGGGAATGACATAAAGAGCACTTTTAAAGAGACAGAACCACTCAGCCCCCACCACATCCCCAGGCCTCTGGAGATCAGCTAATCCCCAACAAGTACAACTGCTTGTGTTTCAGGTTTCCCAGGGGCACAGATAATAAGGGCCAGTGCCCCGAGTTACCAGCTGATTTTATAAAATATTCCCTGAGGAGAAATGGCTACAGACACTCTGGGGCAGTGAGGTTACACAATAGCCACCCACACTGCAGTCACCTTAAGGAGAAATGTAAGAGGACATCCAATCAACTACTCAGGAATTGTCACTGCCTCAATACTGCTGCTGGACAATTCTGGAAAGAATCATGTATATCATATTCTAAGTTTCCACAAAGAACTCAAAGTCACATTTTAAAGTACACAAAATAATATATTTTGGGAGTTCAAGGTGCCAATTCCCCTTGTGTTCCTCCCTTGACAACAGTGGGAAAACACCCCTGGATCAATATTAATTTTTAAAAAAGGCGGGGGGTGGGGTGGAGAAGTTGATATTTAAAAACAGAAATAAACATCTTTAGAAAAACACAATCACTGTCTCTTTAAAACCAGATCCCAGCTGGGTATTATAAGTGACTCCACACTCAAGTGGACACATGGAGATTACTGACTAATATGTATACTCAGAATCTTTCATTTTTATTACGAACACCTAGGCAGTAAAAACTGTTATGTTGAATGTTAATACATACAGACACACCCAAAACATACAAAAATACTATTATTTCAAACTACCAAGAATAGGACAATGCAAGTATTTCATGCTATGACTTTAAGAGCATTACACTGAAACAAATAAGAAGGTAAACGACATTTTTTTCTTTTAATATCCTAGAAATATACCAAAATATACATCTAAGCTTCGGGATTATTGAGGTTAGACTAATGCAAGTGCTGGGTAATCGTATTTAGTACACAAGTCTAAGGTTCTGCAGGAGAGAAATTGTCTTTGGTATCTGCATCAGGCTAATATGATTAACATTTGGATTTTGCATTGTATGACCCTAGAACCAAATACCCTCCCTCCCCCAATCAACTGAGATGAAAAAGATCCATGTAAAAATCTCCTTCATTTGCAAACACCCACCCACCCAACCAACCCCAAGTTAAAAAGTCACATTGTAGAAATACAATGCATAGTTGCACAGTGGTGCTGCAAAAGGAAACAAAACTACAAACAAGGAAAGAAAAGTCTGATAATTGCTCTTTGTTTCCTAACAAATGGACAGCCACTTCCAAGCAGTTCTAGTACAGAAAAGAGAAAGTAGGCTCAGAAGGGCCCCTCGGGTGTAAACCCAGCCCCAGGGGTGAAAGCACCCAGCAGAGCAGCCAATCCTGCGCCAGTGTCTTCAGCGTCCCCAATCTGTGGAGTCCCTGGCCATCCTGCAGCAGCTCCCAGCTCTAAAGCCCTGTGCTAAGCTCTGGTGATGACCCTGGTTGCTGTTAGTTGAGTTGTGGTGGTGATGGAGTTTTGGCTTTGGTTTTAGAAAACGTCATGTGCCAATGTTTTTTTATGCATTATGCGTGTTCCACTCACAAGCTGGCAAGAGCCAAAACTACTGAGCAGGCACTTGGAAAAAAGGTTGCTTGCCCTTTTGAGCTGGTCAGGGGTATCCTCACCTGCCCTCAAGCTTGTCTCTAAATGCCAGGATGCCACAGACTGGATCTAGGCCAAAGACTTCCCTTTTCTTTGTTTTTTTTTTTGTTCTTGTTTGTTTGTTTTGAGTTTATACAATCATTAAGAAATCTTTGGTTTTGGCTGAAAATGGAAAAACAAAACAAAACAAAGACAAAACAAAACAAAGAAACCACCCTCCCATGGCTTATAGCAGCAGTGTTATGACCTGACCTGGTTAAGCTTTTTATTTTTCCCCCAACTTTGGGGGTGGGGATTACAAGTTGAGAACTACATTCAAAGAAGATGTTGAAAGGGCCAGGGATGCAGCTTCCAAAAAGCCCACTGGATATAAGATTGTCAAATAATAATCATAATAATAATATTAATAATAAACTTAAATATTTGGCTTGGTTATTATTATTTTTTGGTCATATCACACAGGAAACAAGAGAAATGTGTATGCGGCAGTCAGCTTAAAAGAACCTTTCGTGTCCTTTCTACCAAGTCCTGGCAATGAGCAGAACCCCAAGGCTCCAGAGGGGAAGGGTCAGCCTTTGACCCCACTTGGAAAAGGCAAGGACAGAAGCTGTTGTGGGTCTAGCAGTTGGAAGTATGGAGCAGATCCGGGAGAGGATAGCTGGCAGTGCTTGAAGGCAAGGTGGTGGGGCGGGGGAAACTCAAGAGACCAGAGATTGCAATTTGCCCTCAGTTTGTAGTAGCTTCAAAGCAAGACATTCAGAGGCTTAGGGGCCGGGGAGCAGTCCCACCATAGGCGACAGGTCTTATGATGCTATAGGCCAGAGTTCAATGCTGCTGAGAAGAGGGAGGGCAGACTTGGCAACTTTGTAGGGTTGAGAGAAGTTAAACCAAAAGTTACTTAGTCATGAGTTAGAAATGAGGTATACACAGCTCCTGGACAACTGGTGAGCAGAAAATCCCACACTTACTCACCTAGCCTTGACTGCTACCACAGAGGAGAGGAATGACTGAGGCCCACTCTGGGAATAGGGTCCCTCCCTCAGTA